CATATAGAGCACAATTTTTCAAGACACTGATTGTACACAAAGCATTTCGACACCACTCATGTCTCATACATGTACTTAGGGTAATGGTTTATTTTTTATTTTTATTTTATTTTTATTTATTTATTTATTTATTTTTGTGGTGCTGGGGATTGAACCCAGGGCCTTGTGCATGCAAGGTAAGCACTCTACCAACTGAGCTATGTCCCCAGCCCCTACTTAAGGTAATGATGTCTAACTCATTCCACCATCATTCCTACCTCATTGGCACCTCCTTTTCCCTCCCTCCCCTTTTTCCTATCTAAAGTTCCTCCATTCCTCCCATGTTCCCCCCTAGATTGCCATTATGAGTCAGCCTCCTCATATCAAAGAAAACATTCGGCCTTTGGTTTTTTAGGTCTGGTTTGCTTCACTTAGCATTATATTCTCCAAATTCATCCATTTACCTGCAAATGCCATGATTTTATTCTTTTTAAATGCTGAGTAATGTTCCATTGTGTATATATACCAAAGTTTCCCTATCCATTCATCTACCGAAGGGCATCTAGGTTGGTTTCACAATTTAGCTAGTGTGAATTGTGCTGCTATAAACATTGATGTGGCTGTGTCCCTGTAGTATGCTGTTTTTAAGTCCTTTGGGTTTATTTCCTTTTGCATTTTCTTTTTTTCTGATCTGACCTGGACCACATGAGAAATTATCCCAGCTCTGGACAAGTCAAGTACTCATTCTTGGCAAGCCTGTGCCCTTTCCACCAAGTTAGGAGGGTTGCACCTTCTATGGTGAGTTTTTTGGTGCCCTTTCAGCCTTTGTTTATTGAGCCTGGCTGGAGTCTCTAACTTATGGGCCTAAGCTTTGTATTATGGCTGGGCAAGCTACACACTACTAAAACAGGCTTTGATCTAATTCTCTTCCTTCATGTATCTTTCATACTGGCTCAAAGCTAATTGCACATCTCTTTGAGCATGTTAAAAAGCAAATAATGAATATTCATTGAGCTACTATTCTATGCAAGAGGTACAATGGAGAGTCCTAAAATGATGATCAAGCCCCTACCTTCCAGAGACTTACAGTCTATAGGTCACAACAAGTGGTATGAGCCTTCATATTGCATGGCGATGCTGCTTGTCATACACATGACCCACAACTTCAAAACTCTTTCATTTTTACATTCTTTTCTTTTTTTCTTTTTGGTGCCTAGGGGCACTTAACCACTTAGCAACATTGCCAGTCCTTTCTGTATTTTTATTTAGAGACAGGGTCTCGCTGAGTTGCTTAAGAGCCTCACTAAGTTGCTAAGGCCAGCTTTGAACTTGTGATCCTCCTGCCTCAGCCTCCCGAGCTGCTGGGATTATAGACATGTACCACTGCACCCAGGTCATTTTGACATTCTCATATAACTTGTCTTCAATGCTCATGGTAGATCACTGTGGCTAGCTCTAGAACCTTCATTCCACTTTGCTTTGGGTGCAAATGGTTAGGAAGTTGAAAATGTTATGTCCTAGACAAATTTGCAACTATATTTGCAAGGTAATGCAAAGAGAGGAAAGGTTGGGAAGATATGAGTGTTTAGAGAGAATCATGGCAGAGAAATCTAGTGTCCAATCTCCAGTTTCATGGAGCATGCTGTTGTGGCTATAGTCATGGTCATTTACTGGTAGCTATAGGTTAGCTATGCTTCTTATGAGTATTTGCCACTACTTTATTGCAGAGGTGGGATGGAGAGCAGGCTGGAATTAGGACCCTATTTGGACAAGGTCCCATTTCACCTCTGGTCTGTTCTATGGCTTTATGCAAATCATTTAATCTCTGCATGATCTTTGCTGTTCAGGAAGCAAGGGCAACACCGATGGCTCTTCTTGTACACTATCCCTAAAGATGAATGAAATTACTAGACAATATAATCACACTTCTTTATAAAGGAGGGTGAAAATCCTGACACTAACTCCTAGACCACTCCTCCAGAGTGGCATCCATTTACCCCAAGCATTTTGGAACGAGAGACAAATTCCTGAACACACTGGGGACCTGACCATTGAAGAGCATCTATTTTCTTTGTTTCATGTGGTTTCTATTTATTTACAGAGTGCCATGGTTATTCATAATGCTTTACAAACCATAAAAACAAGGTCTCCACCCTATAGAATTTACAGTGTAATTTAAACAGACATGCTGCATGGGCTGGCAGGTCAGGCATGCTGGGGGATGGTGTTGGTGTTGTATAACATGGGTGTGGAGGGTTTCTTCTTGACTTATAAATACTTTCCAGTTACAAGGCCCTTTCATCTGGGATCCCCAAGCACTTTAGAATAGCAATAACCCCGATTGCTTTCTAAATGCACTTTCCATAAACTGTTATGGGGACTGAGTAAATGCTTTTAAATGTCTATTAATTGATCTGTGGATCTGTTCATTGTCCATATTAAACAGCATGGATGTAAACACGACAGTGTAGGTGAGGCCTGATTCGGGCTGTGGTCTGGCTGCTCACAGATCACAATTCCAGAGAGGCTTGGCATCCTTGCCCTGGTGGCTGGAAGGGCCACAGGGACACCTGTGGATTTTCCCAGGAGAGATTCTCTCTCAACCTAGATTCAGAAAGATCACCTCCTGGAGCCCTGATTCACCATTTATGGGCAAGTGAGCATTTCAAAATCAGCTGAGTTTGGAGAAAGAATTTCCACTGCAGAAACCTGGGTAGTCCTCCTTGGCTAACCATACTGATTCTCATTCGACTCTCTCCTAATTGCTCCATCCAGTGTTTCTGATGCTACTCTTCTCTCTACTCTTCTCTGTAGCCTTCCATAATGCCTACCACCATCCATCCACTACACTCACCTCCACTACATGTATACATTCGCTTCTTTTCCTAGAGGACTCACCTTTCTCCATGTCCATAAATGTACCTGCCTTAAAGTTTTGTGGTTTTTTGTTTGATTCTTTTGTTTTGTTTTTGTTTTGCATGAGGGATTGAACCCAGGGGCCCTTATCCACTAAGCCACACCTCCAGCTCTGTTTATTTTTTATTTTGAAACAGGGTATCACTAAGTTACTTAGGGCCTTGCTAAGTTGCTGAGGCTGGCTTTGAACTTGTGATCCTCCTGCCTCAGCCTCCCAAGCCGCTGGGATTACAGGTATGTGCCATCATGCCCAGCTGCCTCGACATTTTTGGAGTACCAGGGGCTCCTTGAGTCCAGGAATTATGTCTCATATAGTAATCTCTCAGGAGATTTTTTTTTTTAAGGATCTTGCTGTACCTTGAAGGGGTGATGAAGGAGAAGGAAAGGAGCAACTATAGCCTAAGACCCCTGTAAACTATATATAACCCAGGTTTTGTAAGATTTTGTCCAATCTACTGTAAGGAGGTCACTCTATAATAATACTAACAATTGAATTATGAAGTGTTAAAAATAGGGAGGGGTGCTATAAATTTGAAAATAGTTTTAAATTAAAATTTACATAACATAAAGTTATCATTTTAGCCATTTTTAAGTTTACAGTTCATTGGCATTAAGTACATTCACACTGTGAATCATCTCCAGAACTTTTCATCTTCCAAACTGAAACTCTGTACCCATCAGATACTGACTGTGCTTTCCCCTCCCCCAGCCCCTGGCCACCACCATCCTACCTTCTATGCTGCGCACTTCACATAAGTGGAACTGTACATTTGGCCATTTGCTTATTACATTTAGCATAAGTCTTTAAGGTTCACTGTCTGTAGCACGGGTCCACTTTCCTTTCTTTTAAAGGCTGAATAACATTCCATTGCATGTCTGTGCCATTGTGTTTGACCATCCACCTGTCAGTGGACACATGGCTGCTTCCACATTTTGACTCTTGTGAATAGTGCTGCTCTAAACATGGGTGAACAAACAGACCCTGCTTTCACTCTTTTGGGGGTATATGCTCAGAAGTGGGATTGATCGATCACACTAATTCTATATTTAATATTTCAGAGGAACTGCTATAGCAATTTCTCTACAAGCTGTACCATTTAACATTCCCACCAACAGTGCATAAGGGTTTCACTTTCTCTACATCTTCATCAACATAGGTTGTTTTCTATTGTTGTTGTTTTAATAGCCATCCTAGTAGGTGTGAAATGTTATTGTGGTTTTGACTAGATTCACTGTATTGTTTCTCCATGATAAATGCCATCTCATGGAGATTCTTCCTCATTAGAGTTGAGCCTTCCTCCAGGGACCTGAAAGATAAGTGGGCTTGTAGCCTACTGCACGTCTGCATCCAGGCCAGCAGGGGGCACTTCCACAAACCGAGGGACAAATGGCAGGGCAGCTTGCTTGCCCAGGCCAATGGAGGGTCCTAGATCACCATCAAGGGGGCCTTTTTGTTGCTGGACTCACTTCCCTCTCATCTTGTGTTTCTTGTGGCGTCAGCATTGAAGAGAATCAAGCAGCCTATGGAATAACAATGTTTCTCAGTGGGGATGCTACTGTCAAATTCCAGTGGGACAATTCATTTTATAGGACAATCTCACACACTGCAGAATCCTAGGCCCCTTTTGCTAAGCCAGTTATTGTAACCATCAAAATGCCCCACCCACATTTCCAAAGTTCCTCCTCTGGGGAGAGAAGCTGCCCATTTGAGAACCAGGCACAGAAAGGAAACTGTGAGCAGTCTTGTGTCCAGTTCATGGGATGCTGGGGCTCAGCCAAGGAAAACATCACAGGTGGCTTTAGGTGACCTAGATCACTCCCCTGAGTCTGTTACTGGTTAGTTGTCAGCGGCAGGCTCATGTGTCAGGAGAAAGGGGAAGACACTCTAAAAGCAAGGTGAGCATACAACAGAAAGCATATGGCCCCCTCCCCCACCCCCACCACCAGGACTTGCCATCTGAGCCTGGTCCTTTCAATGACCAGTGGACAACCCCCCACCTCTATCCCAGCTGGAGAATGAACACTACTGCCCTCCGCAGTCTCTGCCTGGCCTCTGCTGGGTTAAGGGACTTCTTTTCCCTGTGCTGCCATAGCAACCGGGAAACAACCTCTGCCACAATGAAAAGGATGGTGCTGTGGCCCAGATCTGTAGATGCACACAGCCAGTAACAGAGCAACCAGAACCAAGGGACAACAAGGGCTCCCGCAGAGGACAGAGAGGTTGTCCAGAGAGTATACAATCCGGGGCTTGAGGAGTCTGGGCAGGCAGTTTGTTTTTCTCTGCACAAAGATGCACACTGTCTAAACTGTGTGGCTGGTTGTTACTAAGAAGCTGCTGTAAGAGGGAAAAATGTATTTAATAAAAGGCCCAGTGTTTGTGGTCTTCTTGTGCTTGCTGCTGAGCTTCGGAAATCTTGAGGTGTGACCAGTTTTCAGCCTTCAAAACCAAGATGAACTGCCCCTGAGAAGGGTGGTCAGAGGGGAAACATGTTTAAGCTCTCTCTCCTGAGCCGGGGACACGGGAAGTTGGTCCAGAACAAACAGAAGTTGGAGGTCTATTTTGAACCAGAGGTGAGTCTTATAGCTGAAAAGGGGCATGTTTGGGGAGTGGGGGGAGGAATGCTCTATCCTTTCACTTGAGGATGAACCAGGTGTGTTTGGGTGTGGGTTGTTACTGAGATGGTGAGGGTCTCTCAAAGACCTTAATGTAGTTGCCTCATATCCCAAGATTGCCCCTGGGGCCCTCTTCCTTCCTCTTGCACCTTGACCGACAGCCTTCTGTTTTTGAGATGGAAGGAGAATCCAGATTGCCTGGAATTTGGGTGGTTTGGTTCATGACCAGAATTCCCACCTGGGTTCTAGGCAAGCCGTTGTTTATTTGGTTTTTAGAAGTCGTGCTCTGAGGTTGAAATGCTATGTGTGTTTGTGCCATTTCAATGGCTTCCTTGAACTTTCTGGAATTCAACCCACAGGATTCATATTTAATATATGCCAAAAAAGTCTCATTTTAGAGGATTTTAAAGAGGTGGCAAAATTTCCTGGTTGTACTAGAATTTTATTTCTTGAATCCTGCCAGGAATAAGAAATCCATTGGGAGTGCTTTGCAAATTTGGGGTCATACAGAGATTTCCATTGTCATGGCAGTTTGTCATGATATTTGACCTTTGCTGTGTTAAAAGACATATAAAATTTCAAAGGACCTCTATGGCCAATGCCATTTACTTACAAGATATATAACTATTTTATAGGCTCCTAAATAGCCAAATTAGGTAAAGTTACATAGCATCTGGAATGTGTAGAAATTCTCCCTGTGTGCAGCTGAACCAGTAGTGGGTTGGAATGGTTTTCTCCTATTTAAACTGCCAACCTGTCCAGATCTAATTTCAAAGTTATTTGCTGCCCTTGACAATTCTGACTACCTACTTGCATATCAGGAAACTTTAACTGGCCCATTACCTACACTGTACCCACTCCAGCCTCCACACATGAAGAGTTCTCCTGACAATCGTATGGAATAAAATAGAATCATGCCCTGGGTCCCACTAATTTTGAGATGCGGGAAGAAAAAACAGTTGCTAAGAAGAGTATTTGTGTTTCACACCGGTAATCCCAGCAACTCGGGAGCCTGAAGCAGGAGGATTGCAAGTTCAAGGCCAGCCTGGGCAACTTAGTAAGATCCTGTCTCAAAAAGTCAAAAAAGAGTCGGGCATGTAGCTCAGTGGTAGAGCATCCCTGGGTTCAATTCCCAGTACCAAAAATAAAAGAGTAATTGTGTTCCATGATTCCACATGAAGCAACTCAGAGAAAATCAGTAACTGAAGGGAAAGTCAAACACTGCATGAGTGGAATTTGCTAAAAGAGGGTCTTCCACAGTGATTCAATCAAGGCAATTTCTTTTCATTACAGGATTACTTGAACTGGAAGTCCCCAGAAGACTATGTCCTGGTCAGCAAACCTCAGAATGAGGAGGATGCCAACCAGCATTCTTGGAACCTCTTTCTTCCTAAGACTTTTAGCACACGAAAGGGTGCCCTGATCCTCTACTCAGAAGGGCTAGCCATCTCAGCATGGACCCACAAAGAGAGGAGAAAGGGCTCCTGCTGCCTCAAAGGTCACAAGAAGGGCCTGGATCTTGAACTTCGTACCCTTCAGGATCTCAAAGAAGCTGTCCTGGCATATGGAAGGAAGCAGGTAGGCAGAGCAGTTCCTCGGGTTTGGGGAAGGCACTGGCCTGTGTGTCTAGAAACCCAGTTGCAACCCTGGGGATAACTTCCTGGACCCTAGGAAAGGGATGAGACCCTCAGATCTTCATTTCCTCATCACTGAAATATGTTTGTATGTCGGCCACACACAATCTTCATGAGGCCTGCATGAGCTAATCCACAAGGAAGGGCTCTGTTACCATTTTGTATTTTCTTTTCTGTTATAGTAACAGAGTCCTTTGAAGCATTCAGACAGATTCAGGCCAGCAGACATTTCACCAGGAGTCCTTGAAATCCTGTCTCAGAGTCATGAGCATCATCGTCCTACCTCTGATGTTCTTGGCTTTGTGGAAAAGAGAAGAACATTTTAAATATTTACCTTGGTCCCTTCAGTGTCTGGAAGACAAATTAATGACTTTTCCATTCTGCATTTAATATTAAGGGGAACCCAGTATGCTCATTTTCTGATTCAGACTTTCTTATGAGATGCCCACATAGACCCTGCCTTATATATCTGCAGGCTTCGGCCCTTTGACTAAGGCCATAATATTATCTGGGAAGATGTGTCCCTTTATGAAATTCTAGATTTGAGATGATGGATTACTCTGTGGTTTGCATCTCTACTGACTAATAAAATCATTAGCTTCTGACACCAGGCCCTCCATACGTTGGTTTCTCTTCCATCTCCCACCTATTCTTGCCAGCATCTCTACTGGGGGCCCCTCAGCCCCCTATGTGCCTAGTTCACTCCAACACCCTATGCCCTTTCTATGGCATCTAACTCCTACCCACCCTTTAACAAACAGCTCAAATATCATCTCCTCTCTGAAGCTTTCTCCCACTTCCCTAGGCAGAGATATCCTTGGGCTCCTACTTTTGCAAACATTCCCATACCATCCCGCATTGAGATTTATCTCTGACCATCTGTCATCCCTGATAGAATAACATCTCCCCCATCACAGGGACTATGTCTAAATCACTTCCATAAATGTTTATGGAATGAATCAGCCATGCCTGATACTTTCAATGTTTCTTAGATTGTCTCCCATTATCATTATTGGACAATTTATCACCTACCCCCACCCTAGACAGAGCTTTCAAAGGAACGCTCCTTCTGTTTCCTTCCCCCACTTCAAAATAGAAAGGCTGGATGACCTTGACCAAACACTCAATTGTCCTTTGTCTTGAAATTCTACATTTAGGATGAAAGGAAGCCAATTGTTCTCAGATGCTTACTGCTACTTTGTAGCTGTTATTTTATTTAATCTTCACAATGACCTTGTAAAATGTGGTTTTCTGTCCCCCCTTTTATAGATAAGGAAACTAAAGCTCATAGGAGCTGTGTGATTTGCCCCAGGCCAGAGAGCTAGTAAATCACTAAGCCAGGATTCAAAAACGGGACTGTCTACCTCTAGGGACAGCATGGTCTGCACTTTGTCCTACTGTCTGTGGACCTGAAGGACACCAGAGGCTGTCTGTCTGGTGTTTGCCTGTTGGCCCTCAGATCCTCTCTGCACACACTTCTCCTGCTTGGCTCTGTGTCACAAGGGGGTTGAACCAGGCTATGTACAATCCCACAAGTGTCTGTGTCAACTGGTTCCTGATTGAATTGACAAGGGGAGAAGACTGGAGAGGGAGAAGGGGAAAGATGGGTAGGTTCCCCCTCCAACTCTCCTCAAGTGATTAGATACGTCTGCATCATCTGTGATCCAGCTCCCAACAGACAGACACATGATGGCCCTGAGCTCCTTCAGGTGACTCCACCAGCAATTCCTTTGTCCCTCTAGCATATGAGTGGTCCCAGCTTCTGATATTACTGATCTTAGAGTTGTCTTGTATGGGGTTCTCCTGTGGCATGGTGGGAAACAGTAGTCTTTAGCAGCCTGAGTGCAACTGGCAGGATTATGGCCACAGTCTGCCTTCGTGAGCAGGAGGCAGGAGCATTAGTTGCATTGTATCTGGATGTTGGCATAAATGTGGTCCTGCCCTGTGAGCCTTCCAACAAAACTTGAGGTTGAATCCCTTTCATTCAGGTAGATAAGGGAGTGTATTGAACTCCATGGAAAATATATTGCCTCAATATCCGATTTCTGAGCTCCCCAAACCTGTATGTAACCAATCTCCTAAATTAAATTCCTTCTGTGTTTAAATACTTGGAGTAGTTTCTGGTTAGACACTGACTGTTATGCAGACCAACTGTCCAGAGTAATACCTCCCACAGCACTCAGATGCATGTCCATATGGCTACAGTCTTTGCGCAACAGGGATCTTGTTAATTTTTGAAGTAGGTGAGTCCATTTGGGAACAACTTCATTTGGGTCAGATTTGGGCTCAATGAAAAAAAAATAAGTTCCTGTCTCTGATATCCATCTATTAGATTTATAGCTCATACAAAACAGAATACAATAGTCTAACTCCAAGTGGGTAGAAGGGAAATGATGTGAAGAAACCAGAAAGGAAATAAGGTTTGGAATAATAGCAGAGCAGGAAAAAACATAGAACATTAAAAGAGGAGAGAAAGCAACTCAAAGAGTAGAACTCTGGAAAAAAGAGCATCATCTAATTAGGAAGAGTACAGACTAAGAAGACAATTTCCAAACACTACCCAGAGCTGAAAAGGCTACAGGGAAACAGCAGTTTCATGCATTAGGAACAGAAATTCACGTGATGTTTCTAGAAGGCATTTTGAAAAAAATCTAAAATGAGTGAATACACTTTGATTCATTTTTCTACTTTGAGAACTTGCCCCTAGGAAATAAATGATATGTCCAAAGATTTATTGCACAAAATGTTTAGTGTTATTTGTATCTCTAATTTTTATTTTATTATTTTTATTTTTATAGTTCTTAAATCCTTTAGTTATTTATTAGTACGCAAAACACTGAAAATACTAAATGTAACACAATAAACACTGACTAGAAAAATTACAATATAATCACTTAATGGGTTTTGGATCAGACAATAAGTCATGTATCAGTCATAAATAACATGCAAAAATAAAACAGTATTCATATATAGGTAATAAAAACATCAATGTTCTATAATTTTTTTAAATATCTACTGAGTTCCTTTTGCTTCTAAGTGCTTCCCAAGTATAATTAATTTATGCTTTCTAACAGTAAGTGATATTCCATGATCCCATTTTAAAGATGAGGAAACTAAAGCACAGATAATTTGAGTAATTGACTCAAGAAGATCATTGCACCAGAATTCCAGACCAGGCAGTATAGAAAACATTGCCATCCTAAAATGATCCAAATTTTTGAAAGATTAATTATACATTCTTAGAAGTATACACATCAAATTTTTCCTCTGGGTTCAACCATGACTAGTGTAGTTATAAATCATATTTTTATTTATATATTTCTTTTTATTAGACATTATTTCTTAAAGCCATAGAATTAAAAAAACAAAAAGCAGAAAAAAGAAAATCTTTTTGGCTTTGAAGGAGGTAGACAGTTGGCCCTAGAGATCCAAGTGGGAGATGAAGGAAGGAAATGAAATAGCAAACTGTGCTTTGGAGGTGTAGTTCAGCAATAGAGTGCTTATCCAACATACTATGCTGTAAATTGAAACCACTGATAACCATACTGTCTTCCCTCAGGGGCAGTATTTCTTTGTACACATAGGATAGGTCAAGAGTTAAAGACACCATATTCCAAGTAAAATAGAAAGGTTGAGGGAAATAAATGAGGAGGGTTCACCAGAATGGTAGAACTGTTGAGGGAAGAATCTCTACTGGCTGGACCAAGAATCAAGAAACCTACTCGGGCCCCACTCAGATCTGGGAAAATGGAGTCTTTACAAGGAGGTGCAATTCCATGTCCAAAGTATCTCCCAGTGTTTTAGTCAGCTTTTTCGCTGCTGTGACAAAAGGACCCAACCAGAACAACTATAGAAGGAGGAAAAGTTTACATGGGGGCTGTTTCAGAGGTCTCAATCCATAGACAGCAGGCTCCATTCCTTGGGGCTCAAGGTGAAGCAGAACAACATGGTAGAAGAGTATGGGGGAGGGAAGTGGTTTGCATGGTGATCACTTGCCAAATACAAATATATACCCCAAAGCCATGCCCCCAATACCTACCTCCACCAGCCACATCCCACCTGTCTTCAGTTACCATTCAATTAATCGCATCAGGTGATTAATTCACTGATTGGGTTAAGGCTCTCACAACCCAATAATTTCTCTTCTAAATCTTCTTGCATTGTCTCACACATGAGGTTTTGGGAGATACCTCACATCCAAACCATAACACCCAGCATCCTCAGTTCTATCTGTGGGTCTGATGGGATGCACATGATAATATCTATGGAATTTATGCCTCAACATACACTTACTCTTTAACACTCTATAAGGAACAAAGATAAATGTGAAGTCAAGACCAAGAGTTCTCAGACTTCAAGATACATACAAATATGTTCCTTGGTGGTTGATTTGCCTTTTTTTCCTTAAATATATTTGTTTATTTTAAATTTTGCTTCAAATCTTTTTTAAAAATTTTTCGAGAGTCATTTATTTTATTTTTATTTATTTATTTTAATTAGGTATATGTGACAGCAGAATGCATTTTGATTCATTGTACATAATTGCAGCACAACTTTTCATTTCTCTGGTTGTATGCATTTAGTGTTGCACCATATGCACAGTCCTAGGGTAATTATGTCCATCTCATTCCACCATCTTTCCTGCCCCCATGCCCCCTCCCCTCCTCTCCCTCCCCTTTGCCCAAACAAAGTTCCTCCATTTTTCCCATAAACCCCACCACCATCATATGGATCAGCATCCACTTATTAGAGAGAACATTCAGCCTTTGGTTTTTTGGGATTGGCTGGTTGATCTGCTTTTTTTTTTTTAATTTTGAGTTATAGATGGACACAATACCTTTGTTTTATTTATCTGTATGTAGTGCTGAGGATCAAACCCAGTGCCTCACATGTACTAGGCAAGTGTTATTCTACTGAGTTATAGCCCCAGCCCTTGATTTGCTT